AAAAAGTATGATTCTAATTTCATTGTACATGCCTTGTAATTAGTTTTGGATTATCTAGTCACACTGTGTAGACACAGAGTGATAGGATTTTTATTAGCAACATACAGTAGCCATATATTTCTGAATGTGCTACAAAAATTTTCTCTAGTGTATAATTTCCTCTGCTTTTTGGAAGCAGTTTGGTATTTTTTAATTTGTATTTTCATATAGTCAAATCTTTAAATATTTTTAGTTGGAACTTCTGAAATAATTCCATAATTTGAAATATCTTTTTATTTAAAAATCACATATTTTCTTTATATAATTTTCTGAGTTCAAAAAGAACAATATTACATTATTTTCAATATTTTTATAATTCTTATTTTTTATGTTTGGATACTTAATTCACCTGGAATTGTTTAGTATGAGTTATAAAGCTAATTTTATTTTATTTTTCCCAGAGAAAGCCAGTGCTGCTTCAAATCATTTTTTTATTAAGAAAACCTTTCCCACTGATCTGAATCTCTACCTTTATTCTTTTCTGTATTTTCCTGGCTTCATTTATCTTCCTCTTCTTTTTTTATAGGCTAAAATTTAAATTTTTAATGCAATAATGGCCACATACAGCTCACTTAGTTTAGGCTGCTGTGGTCATAGATCCCAGCAAAGAAAGTCACAGGTTATCTAATGAATGATTTCACTTTCTGCTGTCACCTTTTTAAATTTATTATTGTTGTTGTGTTGGGGATGCATTGTGACTTTTACAAAAGTCCTTACAATATATCATAGTTGAATTCACCTCCTCCATCATTCTCCTTTATCTCCCCTCCCCCACCTTCCTCTTCTGTGTGTAGAAATCCTTTAAGTATCTTCTGCAGTGCTGGTTTAGTGGTTATGAATTCCTTTAGTTTTAATTTAATCATTCAATTATGAAGGATAGCATTGCTGGATATAGTAATGTAGGTTGACACCTTTTTTTTTTCAGGGCTTGGAATATATCATTCATGCCCTACTTGACTTTTAGAATTTCTGTTGAGAAATGTGCTGTTGTTCTGATGGGTTTGCCTTTATATATGACTTGTCACTTCTCTCTTAAAGTTTTCAAGATTATTTCTTTGTTCTGTGTATTTAGCATTTTAACTGTATTATGCCTGAGGATGTTTCTTTTCTGATCTTGTCTGCTTGTATTTTGAAAGCCTCCTGTACCTGGATGACCCTCTTTTATCAAGATCAGGGAAGTTTTCTGCTCTTGTTTTATTGAACACATTATCTAAGCCTTTAGTTTGTGTCTCTTCTCCTTTTTCCATTCTCATGATTCATAGATTTGGTCTTTAAATGGTGTCCCAGAGGTCTGACTTGTTTTGTTCATTTTTTTTCAGTGTTTGTCTTTATCTGAATGTTCTAATTCCTCTACTTTATCTTCAGTCCCAATATTATATTTTCAACTTGTTCCATTATAGCAAAGGTCTCAACTGAGGTTTTAAATTTGAGTTTGTTTCCAGGATTTCAATTTAATTTTTCTCAGGATTTCTACATCTTTTTGGCAGCACTGATGTTTGAGCTCTTCGTGCTTGCTAGCCAGGCACACTACTGCTTGAGCCACACCTCCTCTACATTTTTATTGCATTCCTCCTTCACTGAGCTGTTTATTTGTATCATCTTTGAATTCAGGTGTTATATATGTCCTCTTTAACTTCATAGATCATTGTCCTTTTGAGTTCATTGGTTGAGATGTCATCAGTTTCACTATCATTCGAGTCCTTTATTGTGGAATTGTTGGCATTTGGAGGAGAAATGTTGCTGTGTGTTTCTATGCTGGAATTTACATATCTGAGGCCAAGTTTTTGCTGGAGGTTTTTATCTCCTGTGTCCTTTCAGTTGGACTTTTCACAGTGCTTAGGCAAGACTGGGTGGTTCCTGGGTTGTAATGTATTTTCCAATTGCTAGATTGGGAGGCTAGGGGGAGGAGAGTTATTGGTTCACTAGTAGAACATTCGACTAGTGCTGAAGTCACTGTGTCTGCCCCGCCCCCACTCAACTCGGGGAGAGGAAACTTAACTTCAGAAGCAATCACTGTTGATAGACACTCTTCATGAGAATACAGCAACCTGTAATAAACACCCACGCACAGGAAATCAATGTGAGTCAATGCCCTGTATAGCTATCCTTATCTCAACCAGCAAAACCCCTTGTTCCTTCCTATTATTGCTTATACTCTCTCTACAACAAAATTAGAGATAAGGGCAAAATAGTTTCTGCTGGGTATTGGTGGGGGGGAGCGGGAGGGGGTGGAGTGGGTGGTAAGGGAGGGGTGGGGGCAGGGGGGAGAAATGAACCAAGCCTTGTATGCACATATGAATAATAAAAGAAAAATGAAAAAAAAAAGAAAAAAAAAAAGAACAATCTTCATCAATGCTTCATCATCTGTGGAGGAATGAAGGAGCAAAGATAATACTGTGTGGACTGGGAGACCTCAGTTAATAAGGATGGTAGTGGGAAGAAGATGGGTGGGATGCTGCTAGTGAACAGAACAAGATGTATGCTGTTGTAAGGGGAAGCAGCTAAGGCTAGAAGAGGGAGTACAGATGAAGTGGAATGAGATAGGTAGAAAGGTCTAGATAAAGGTGTTTTTTTCCTCGAGAAAGGAAAAAAAGAGGGCTGGGAGGTAGCTTGGTTTTACAATACTTGCCTAGCATGTGCGAGGCCCTGGGTTCAATCCCAGCACCCAAAAAAAAAAAAAAAAAAAGAGAGAGAGAGAGAGAGAGAGAGAGGAAAAAAGAGAAAAGAAAAATGAAACCAAACTGGCAATCTTAACTGCCTGCTAAAAGTAAAAGCAACAAAGAAGGATTGTGAATGGAATAGAGAGATGGTTCTTTCTTCACCCCTGCCCTGCCTTCTCTCTGCAGCCTCTGCTAACCTCCATCCTGCTAGAGGTCTATACTGCAGTTTCTAAAGAAATCTCTTGCGAAAGCAGCTTTTGTAATTTGTTGGCAACGGTTTTCTGTCTTAACTTTTACACTTCTTATGTGCCTGTAATTCTCTTTCTCATCTACAATGTTGCTTGTGCCCTGCTCCCTTGTTTGTTTGACTTGTGAAAGATTATTTTAGGGTTTTTTGGTTTTGCTTTCTTTTCCTTTTGAAAAGAACTCGATTTTATTTATCCAAACTTCTTTCTTTTTTTATTAAATTCCCTAATCGCAACTTTTGTCATTGTTGATTCTTCACCTCTGTTTTCTCTTTATAGTTTTGGTGGTCTGTGGCCTGCTTCTTAAGTGAAATGATGAGGTAATTTGTCTTCATCTAAACCTATAAACAAGCATAAGGCCATGGATTATTCTCTATAAAAACTACATCCCTCCAGCCAGTATATGTAGTATTTTTGTTGTCATTATCGTCTAAATCATTCTTAATTTTTATCTTTGATTGTTTAAAAATGTTCTTTTTAGGGAAAAGGGAAGTACTGGGGTTTGAACTCAGGGTCTTGATCTTGCTATACAGGTGCTCTACCACGTGAGCTATACCCCCATCCCTTTAATAATGTGGGGTTTTTTGTTTGTTTTTGGTTTTTTTGGTGAGACTTGGATTTGAACTCAGAGCTTTGCACTTGCAAAGCAGGCACTCTACCACTTGACCACACCTCCAGTCCATTTTGCTCTGGTTATTTTGGAGGTGGGGGTCTCACAAACTATTTGCCAAGGCTGACAAAGCTCAATCCTCCTGATCTCAGCCTCCCAGGTAGCTAGGATTATAAGCATGAGCACCAGCACCTGGCAATAGTGTTCTTAACAGCAGTATGATCAGCAAAAGAGAAGGTGTCACAAGAGTTTAGAAGAGGAGCATCTAATCCAGACTTAGACTGATGGGATCAGAAAACTAGGTGTGGAGGAAATGGGTTCAGAACTGAAACCAGGTGAGAGTATAGATATTAGAAAACAGGTCACTGGCTGACGGGGACTGAGGTGGCATTCCTCCCTGTGAAGGGGCACAGGGAGTCTGTGGAAATTCAGTATAACTAGCTCAAGGACTGTGAGGCAAAGAGGCAAACATTGCAGAAGAAACCAGGAGCAGGGACTGGGGGTGTTGAAAACCACCTTCCTCCTTTCAGCCAGTCACCTCTGAGTGTTACCTTTTAAAAATTAAAGAAGGTGTACCCCTAGAGTGTGTGCAAAAAATGTCCTATCTTGAAAGAAAGCTAGGAAATCAACAATCCAACTGTTCATTTGACAGAGGTAACAACAGAACCAAAGAGACGAGACTCACCCTCTGTGACCCACTGTCCTAGGCAGAACTCTGTTGAGGGAAGAGGCCTGTTCTGAGTGAGCCTGCGGAGAGGGCTGTGCCTCCCACTCTTACCACCCCTGTTTCTTCATCCCAATGATAGCAGCCTCCCGGCATAATACAGCACGCTGGGTGCCTTATTTGAAGACCATAGCCCTGTCAGCATTGGATGCTGGTGAGGCCTCTATTCCTGGTTTGTAGACAGACACCTCCTCACCATGCCCTCTCATGAACTTTCTTCTCTGTGGGCCCAGAGGAATTCTAGGGCTCTATTCCTCTTCTTGCCAGGACACCAGTCCCATCGGATTAGCACCCTACACTTTGACGTCATTTAATCTTAATTACCACCTTACAGACCCTATCTTCAAATACAGTCACAGTGTGCACTAGGGCTTCAACAAAGGAAGCTGAGGACAACAAATCCATGCCTAACAGGCTTCTTCCTAAGAGTGCTGTTATCACATGCTTGTGCTCGTTACTTAAAGCACGGATCCTAGACATCTTTCCTGGGTAAGTAACGTGATAGAGTGAATATAAGGAGAATGCACTCGGGAAGTCGGAGGGAAGCTCTCCAGTGCGGTGTAGAGTTAAGAGTTCATGCTTGCACACACTCTAATTTCTCAAAAACATCATTGCAAAATAAGTTCTTTTGATTAAAAGTATACTTCATTAAAAAGCATGTGTTACGGTAACCATGTGTTACGGTTATTTAAAATAATACAAATTTTCTCTCTTTTTTCCAGATTATTATGGGAATATTATAGTAAAAATGGAAAACAATGTAATGTTTTATTTCAAGATTAATATCAGAGATGCAGTAAAACTACATTTCTGGATGAGTGAAACAACGAAATCCTTATTTTTCTTTAGCGACTCTTATCACGCATATCTGGTGTATGTTTTTGACAACGGCACGGTACAACCTCAAGACTACCCCTTAAATCTGGAAGTACAAAGTGTAACTTACAAATCACAAGACAAATGTCCCTACATGGCCTTCCATAATAACGTTTTCCGTGTAATTTACTTTTTGGACAAAGGAGAAAACCTGTCAATTTGGTCTCAAATAGTCTATCCAGAAAACACTGGCTTACACACCATTGTGGAAACGTATGGCCCCAAAGTCTTAGCAATAGCACAAGACTCTCACTATGAAATTGCCTTGGGCTACTGCACCAAAACTCTGGTAAGTTAATATTTTTACTTTCTTCATTTGGTGGTAAATAATACGAAAGTATAATAGTCACATTTTTATACACAGATTTCCCTTCTGAGCCCAGCTGAAGACATGTTGAGGGATGTGTGAGGTTTTTAGTAAGTTGTAATGTGATAAACCATTCACCCCCGAACCCCACTTTTCACTTTCAACATCCAACGCCTCTTTGCCACGCAAAACACGTTCATTCAAAATCTCCCTTGGTTGTCAGTTGTATTGTTCACTTCTGTCTTGGTCTGTTTTTAACTGAATACCTGAGACTGGTTCCTGATTTCTACAGAATAGAAGCTGTCGTAGTCACAGTGCTGGAGGCTGGGAAGGCCACAGCACGGCGCTGGCACCTGCTGAGGCTCCTTCTTGCTCAGGTCTCTCTTCGTCTTCTCGAAAAGCCACTAATGCCATCGTGGGGACCCCACCCGCGTGACCTCGTCTACCTCCCGTTACCTGATAAACACATGGAAATGTATTACTGACTTTTTTCCTGAGGTCCTTGACGAGGTTGTAAATTGCATTCATATTACCATTCTGGAGTTTTATTTAGTAAAGTTTCAAGACTGCTACCTTTAATACCTCTAAATACACTATCCACATTTTACACCAATATTCTACCGCACTTCCTTTATTACATATCCATCAGTCAGTCTTTTTCTGACCTCAGACTCTTGATCCTCCTGCCTTAGCCTCCCATGGGTGGGATTACAGGCATATGCCATCAGAACTGGCCTGATTTAATGTTTTCTATGACTGCATTATAGGTTCTTTGTTAGCACTTCAGCTGTTGCTGCTCATTTTATCTATCGGATGTTTGGGGATTTGAGGTGCACATCTTTACTTACTCCTGTCCTCCCTCAAGTATTCTATCACTCACTCCATGCGTGGTTCACTTACCTTATAATAGAGTGCTGCTGTTTCCCCCTTACGGCCCTTGTGCTGTCGCGCAGTACATTTTACGTCTGTACAGTTTATAAACATTACATTATTTTTGCTTTACATAGTACATGATCTTTCTAAAGAGATTTAACTAACAAAAATGATATTTTCATTTTTACATGTTTTACCATTTCCAGTACTCTTCATTCCTTTATTTAAATCTAGGTTTCCAGCTAGCATCATTTTGCTTCTGTCACTTTTGGCTTTGTGTATTTCAGAATGTGTTATTTAATTCACATTCTAATGAATCATCAAATGTCCAGATTCTCTAGTACCAATTTGCCTTCAAGTCTGTCTTCTTTCGTGTTTAGTATAACTACACTTTTACTTAGTACTTCCATAATCTCTTTCTTTCTCTCTTTCTTTCTCTCTCTCCTTCCTTCCTTCCTTCTCTCTCTCTCTCTCTCTCTCTCTCTCCTCTTTTTTTTTTCACAAAACCTTGTAGCCCAGCCCAAGTTGGCCTTGAACTTGTGATCTTCCAGCCCCAGTCTCCCAAGTTGCTGGGATTACAGGCATGTAGCACCACACCCCCGATACTTCCTTGTTTCCATCTGAACCTTTCCACTGCGTTTCCTGTAGACCCCATTTATTTGTGTCTTTATAGTTTTTGCCATTTTTGTCTGATATGAAAAATGTTGGCTTTTACTCAGAGCATTTAATCCATTTACATGAGTTGCAATTCATGGCATACTTGGGGATTTGTCTTCAATGTATTTTGTGCTTTTTATTTTTTAATCTTTATCAGTTTTGGCCTTTCGTTTTCCTTTTCCACTAGGTCAGGGTCTACATACACTATATTTCTAGCCAGAAATTTTTTCTTAGAAATTAAGGCATGAATATTTAATTCATGCAAGCCTAAATTTAATTAAATATTTTACTCTTTCCCCAACTCACATTCTTTTTAGTAATCAATTTTAGCTCTTGTCTTATGTCTGCACTAACAGATACTGTTACTACAGTTTTCTGTAGCGTTGTGTTCACAACTTATCTGTATCTTTTTAGGTGCATTCTTTCATGCATCTTTTTGTGAGAGGCTTCTGGTGGTTAAACACTCAATGTTTGTTTGCCTGAAAGTATCTTTATTTCAATTTTGTTGAAAAGCATTTTGTTGCATATAGAACTCTGGGTTGATGACCATTTTCGTAAAGCAATTAGGAGTATGTTTCTGTTGGTTCTTGGCTTCCGTTGTTGTTACTGAGACATCACTTGTAATTTTTTTTTTTCAGTACTGGCGATTGAACCCAGGTCCTTGCACAAGTGCTCTACCATTTGACTTACACCCCCATCCCTTTGCTTTGATTTTTGATTGTGAGATAGGGTCTCACTACCTTTTGCCTGGGCTGGCCTCTAACTCACAATCTCTCTTGCCTCCACCTCCTGAGTGGCTAGACCTACAGGTGCAGATCGCCACATCTGAGCTCTTCTTCCTCAGAGTGCTTTTGAAATTTTGTTCTTTGCTTCCTTCAGTTTTTCCATGATGTGTGTCGATGTGGATTTCTTTGCTTTTATCCTTACTGTACTTTTTAGACGTAGGGCTTATGATTTCCTGCGTCTACTCTCATATCTGTTCTGTAAAAGGCTTTTACCCTGAGCCAACAGTAACATCTGGAATGCTGGAGGCTGACGTGAAACGTGCCCCAGAAGAAGAAAATTAGCAAGAACATACGCAAAAGGCAGGTGAACTAGAAGACAATGGGGGAGAAGTTCGAACAAGTCTGCATAGTCCCCAGACTAACAGGCAATAGGATAATTGAATTGGAGAGCAAGTTTGAAATGGCTGAGTCAAGGCTGTTAGAAAACAAGAACATTCAAGTATTCTAAGCTCAGGAAATAAAAAATAAAAATAAGATTGCAGTGACAAAAGTCAAATGAGGAGGGAGTTACAATAAATATAAGTAAAAATACTAAGATTATACAATTAAAGGAAAAGTTTTTAAAAAATGTAACAGTAAACTAATGTATTCATGATTAGGACTTGGGAAATAGAAATTTGAAAGAGGCTAAGTGTATCATTTTATTACTTAAGGATTTAGATATGTCTCAAGACCATGTATTATGTCCTAAGAAAACTTGGTTTACAGTGACAATTTATTACATATGTTAATGAAAGCATTTTATGTTCCTGGATGTAAAAAAACCACATGATAGCTAACATTTGGTCCTCACCCCCAGCTTTCATCTTCTCTTTTCAGTCAGTAACATTTACTCAGATTGCACAGTATGAGTTAAAACCTGATTACTTCAAACAGCAGTAAGTACGGCTTTCTAAAGAACTTTTAGATATGCTACTCAGGTTATTGAGTTGTAGATATTTTATAAAAATGGGTTCATATGCTTTTATTTTTTTAATATCAAATTTCTTTAAATGTCTAGGTGTATGTAAAATTAGTATTTAGCTTATTAAAATCTAAAATACTCTTTGTTGCTCAATGGAAAATGACCTCTCTCTACGTCCATATTATTTAACTTTCCATCTGTAACAAAATACCTGAGGGAGCTAACTCGTAAAGAGAAGAGGGTTGTTTCAGCTCATTGCTTTTGAGGTTTGAATCCATGACTGGGTGGCCCTATTGCTTCTGGGACTTTGGCAGGGCAGCAGAACATAATGACAGGAGCACATGGTGCATACCTCTCGCCTTATGAACTGGACAGCAAGGAGGAAGAGACCAGGGTCACACACAACCCCCTCCCCCCCCCCATGAGGGCACACCTCTAACGACCCAGGGACCTCCCACAAGGTCCCACCCCTAAGGCCCACCTCTTCCCAATAGTGCTATCCTGGGGACAAAGCCTTTAACACACGGACTTCTGGGACATTCTTATCCAAACCACAGGAGGGTTACTTCTTAATTCAATAATTTTCAGGCATGATTTATCATTAATTCCCATCTGGAAGTCTGTACATATTATCCCAAAGCAAAAACAAGAACTCTGATATCACAGAGTCTTTGACTATGAGTAAAATCATACAAAGCACCTTTGGCTCTTGGATAATGTAGCACCTAAGCACTTTAAAAAAAAAAAAAGCCAGACAATCTGGGATTCTATGTTTAATAGTCAGCTTTTCATCAGAGCAAGAAAAATAGCCTGACACGGGCTCTATATGAAGAAGAGATGTATGTAGCTCTATTTTGGAAGCTGCAAGTCCAAACAGCAGAGTGCAGGCATGTGAGGGCCACCTTGGGTGGCATCACCTCATAGTGGATGGCAGTGGTGGGCATGCACACAGGAGCAAACAGATAGCATTTGAGCAGGATACAGAGAGAGCTGGGCGGCATCAGGCTCGCCCCTCTTATGACAACCCTCTCCCGAGAGCTACCACATGTCCCCAGTGACCTAAGGGCCTCCCACTAGGCCCCACCTCTTAAAGGTTCCAAAGGACCTCCCAGTATGGCTACCCTGTGGACCAAGTTTCCAGTCACATGAAGCCTTGAGGGTGACAAGAGGCAAAATTAAATTATATCCAATCCCTGAAGAAATTAGACTGAAAATCACAAATTATTAATAATTATAAATATTTATAATTATTTTGTAATTCCAAACAAGTTTTTAATGAAATTTTGGTAAAATAATTTAAATTATTTCTAAATATAAAAAAAAAAAACCACATTCAAATCATAGCACTGCATGGAGGCATTTGTGACTCTCATTGTGATCTGACAGGTTTCTTTTTTCCTATCAATATTTCCTGGAGAAATAGCATTTTTTACACCTAGGAAAAAGTCTGTTTTTTCTTCAACTGTTTCTGCTCCAAGCGAGTGTAAGTACCCACTCCATGCCCAGCTCTCTTCTAGGTACTCAAAGTAAATGTGGTAACAAGAAGTACTGATGTCGTGGAACCCATTTCCAGTGGGAGGAGACAAACACCAACTAATTCAATAAACCAGATAATCCTAAATTCTGAGAAGTACTGAAAAGAAACCAGAGTTGTCCAATAGTGAGCAGGAAGGGGAAGGAGAAAGAAGCCCCTTTAGACACAGTGGTCAGGAGAGGCTCGGCTCATCCCTCCCGCCTTGCCACTGACTTTTGTCTTTATGTTTGGTTTTGTGGATATTTGCTGAGAATTATGTGGCTGAAGAATGCACACCAAATTGCCCAGGTAGTTTTGTTTCATTATTCTTTTTTTTTTGGCGGCACCGAGGTTTGAACTCAGGGCCTTACGCTTGCTAGGAAGGTGCTGTTAGAACTTGAGCCACTCCACCAACCCGAGGATGTTTTGTTTTATTTCCCCCCAGTTTTTTTTAACCCCAAAATGTAAAACCTTAGCAGGGGCTGGAGCACGAATCAGGCTTTCAATTTTTCTTCGTCTTCTGTTGTTTTTGAGCCCTCACATTTTGCCTGAACACAAAGTGATTCACATGCACTTGGTAGTTGAGAAAGACATCGCAGCTGACCTCCCTTTGGATCCTACTCAGGTCACGGTGTGCAGCTGAGTGTGGGGAGGAGGAGCCCCTGCGGGCTAGGGAAGGAATCCCGCGATGCAGGCGCAGAACCCCAACCCCCTGGGACCGAGGATGTTTGTGAAGTGTTTCTGTTTCCCACTGAACTGACCATCTGGTGACCAAAGCACATTTCCCAGGTGACCACAGAGCACAGCTGACTTCACAGAAGCAGCCAGCAGCTCCCTCCAGCCCCGCTTCCAGGCCTCTGGAATTCCTTAGGGGACTCAAGCACACCATGTTTGTGGGATTTTGCATTTGCTTTGCAGAAAGACAGTGTCATGTCTCCCCGTCATGATGTATTAATGACCTGTGTGGCCTGTTTTTCCTAGACAAAAGGACTCAGGCCTCCTAGTGGTTCAACTTCGACCCAGTGAGTATTCAAAAACATGTCCAATAGCCCAAAAGGTAAGTGCCCACGGCGAAGATCAAAAACTCTACTTCAAAAATGTGTAGTTGGTAAACTCAGTATGCATCCAGTCTCCGTACAGTGCTTTCCTCTTCTTAGCATCATCACAGAACGTCTCACTGTAAAGCCTGGGTTACTTTATTTTGAAAGAAGATACTATGTCTGCCTTTTGTTAGTTTATCATCTAAAGTGCTTTCACATGCAAAAATGTGAAAGCATTAATGTCACAAGGCTTGAAGATAAATCAGACTGGGTAAAGGAAAACCGAAATGAATGGAAACACACTGGAGTTGGGTATGGTGTGTGAAAGAAGTCTGCCAGCCAGGTCCACATCCATCCTGCCTTCATCCACTCAAAGCGACTCGATCGTTTATTCCATCCAAAGACATTTGCTCTGTGCCTGTCATGTGTCAGGGCTTCAGTCTGTGTGCTAGATATGGGAGTCACAAAGGTGAAAAGACAGTTCCTTCCCTCCAGGTAAACCTAAGCTAGCACACATGGTCCCCAAATAGCCCAGCGGTTAGAGTGAGCAAACGTGATTAGGAAGGGAAAGGTGAAAAGAAAGTGACGCATACAGTGTGACTGTGAAGAGCATGTAGAAGCCTCCAGCGTCTGCCACAGGACTGTGGGATGCTCTCTCAGCACAGCCTGCACTTCCTGAAAGGAAGCTTTGGGACCAGTGCAGAAAGACAGCTGCACAGGGGCCCTGGGGCTAACCAATGGCACTGGAGTGTGAGAGTCTGTGACCCACACTAAAGAAAGCCTCTTCTCATTATCCTACTCAGCCCAACTCACACTCGGTCAGTGTTTACTGAGCACCAACTGTATACCAGGCATCGTGTTATATCTGGGAAATTCAAAATGAAATAGGGCTGGGCCCTTGCCCTTCCAGACCCTGGCACTGGAACCCATTCCTACCAGGGCAAGACCCCATGGGTTTACAGGGATCCTTGAGCTGAGACAGATGGACTCTGTCTTTGAGGGCCACCAGCCCACACTGCTTCTCTGAGAACTGGCCTGCAGCTGCCTACCAAGACACCACCCTGCCCCCCTTCCACCAGCCACACTGCCAAAGAACCCGCAACGGTGCAAGATCCTGTCCTTCAGGTGTCCTCCTGATGCCATGGTTTCCTCCATCCCTGCCTGACCTGGATTTTTGCTAGTGATCCCTATTCATCCTGCCTGCCCAGCCCAGGCTGTAAGACAGGTTCTCCAATCCAGCCCTACAAATCACTGGCTTGGGCAAGTGACTTAAAACACCCTTAGGCCACCCCTTTTGCTCTTCAGCACCCTCCCCCCTACACACAAGCACAGTTCAAATCTAGCTACCTCCTGCTGCAGTCTGCTCTGATCTGCCCACTGATTGGAGTGGAGAAGCAAGCCACAGCCCTTTTAGGCAACAGGAAAATGTCTTGTCTTATACAGGGGGTTCTCTACTTAGCCAGGGAAATCAAAACCTGTACAAACTGGAGGGTGCACTCTCACACAAACCATGAGGAAGCAAGTCCTCGATCTCCCAGGTACACAGTGCAGAGACACAGGGCGCAGCTCCAGGTGCACACAGCACCATGGCCCAGACTTTGGTAAACCTGCTAGGCCAAAGGGACATGGACTGGGCCACTCAGATAGGTGCTGCAGTGAGTAGAACTGCCAGCTCCAACAAAGCTGCCTGTCACCAAGAACTGAAAATGCAGAAGTGTGGGCCAGCCCCCACCAAGACAAATTCTCCATGGAGGAGTGACTGCAGCTCTCACTAAGGCGTTATCTGCCAGCAGGTTTGTGACAAGGGCCATTAGAATTCCTGTCTCAGTTCAGTCATTCTGTCCACTTAAAAGGAATTTGCTGGACTGGACCCTGAGCTGAGGCAGGAGAAGTCCCTGCCCTGTGTCTGTACTGGAGAGAAATGTGTCCATGTAGGCCCTGTGTCAGAATCTATCTCATTAGGTGTCCACTGCTGGGGACCGTGTGCCAGCCCTGCAGCCGTGGGCTCCCAGGTGCTTTCTGCGTCTACAGCTCCTTTCAAGATCCACCTGTAAGGCAACTCACATTTTTAATCACCCATGGTTGCTGATTCTGAGGCTTGAAAACTCAAGATATTACAAATGTGACCCTTGAGGACATAAGCCATCCTGGGGTGTTACTGGACAGTTTAGTAAAGATAAACAGGCTGACATATTTCCTGGGAAAAGATGGGTTTAACAGTCTGGGGTGGGGAGAACTGCAGGTGGGCTCCTTGAGAGAGCAGACCAGGCTCTGTGGCGAGATCACATGTTCAGGAAATAAATGTAATGTCCAAGTATGACGAAGAAGGAAAGTGCATGTGTGTCTCAGTAGACACTAAAGTCTGACAAGTTCCGGCATGATTTCAAGATAAAACAATAAACTAAGGCTAGAAAGGGACTTTCCCCGCAGCCAGCATCACACCTGATACTGGAAAACAGCACTTTCCCTGAGATCAGGAACGAGACGTGAAGGTCTTGTCATATTTACTCAACATGCTACTGCAAGTTCTATTGAAGGCAATCAAGGCACCAAATAATTAGAGCTGCTTAATTTATAATGGAAGTAAAAGAAAAAGAAGAAGTCGTGACTGGCTAGAGGCATAGCTCAGGTGTAAAGCGTCTGCCTATCAAGTGTGATACTCTAAGTTCAAACCCCAGTGAAACCAAAAAAAGAGGAGAGAGAGAGAGAGAGGTAAAGAGAGAGAGAGAAGAAAAGAAAGAAAAAGGAAGTGTGACTCCCTGGTAGAAACGCTGACCATCCTCATAAGTAAATCCACAGCTAGCACATTTTATTTTCAAGTCTTCAAGCTTTCTTTTAATGTTTATGTGGTAATTATTCTAGTCCTATATAAACAGCATGTTATATCTAAGCATTTATAATCAGAGTAAGGCATCTGGCATTTGGCCACAGTTCATTTTCTTAATGACAGAGGTTTAATGGAGTTAGTAGTCTTTCAACTTTAAACACAATGCATTCCAGCTATCAAGTAGAGCCTGTCTTCTTAGAAAACTCCACAAAAACTCTTTCAATTTAATAAAATTTTTATGCCTAGAATTCATTCTACTCTGTCCTTCCAAAAAAAGTTTTCAGTCTGTTAAAAGGAGATGGGAAATACCGCTACTAACAGAATAAATCTGTATGGGGTGAGGTGTGGTGGTGCACACCCGAAGTCCTAGCTATGTGGGAGGCTGAGGCAAGGAGATCGCTTGAGATCAGCAGTTCGGAGCCAACCTGGGCAACATAATCAGACCCTGACTCAAAGAGGTAAAAAAAAATAGATTTTTACCACATTGGACACTAGTGAAGTTTAATTTGGTTCTTTTAATGTTACCCTTTTGCACATCAAATGCCTTTTGGGGGCATTTCCAGTCTATGAAACAAGGCATCGTGGCACAGCACAGCTACATGACACCATCGTTAGATTTTATACTTGCCTTTCTCCACTGAACCCTAAAGCTTATTTTCAGTTAGCGTGGGCTGTGTTAAAAAAGCACCTCGAAGTCCTGTGGCAGACACTGTAGGCTAGTGTCTAACTTTGTGTGTGTTATGCTATACTATCCACAGGCAGTTTATTTTCTCTAAAAAACAAAAAAGCATATGTATACTTAGTGTGGGTAGTACACGCCTGTAATTTCAGAGCTCAGAAGGCAGAGGCAAGGAGGTCATGAGTTCTAGTCCATCCAGGGTTAGCCAGACCCCATCTCAAATAACCAACACCACATACACACAAAAAGCATAGATGTGTATTTTTTTTAAAAGGCAGTTATGGTGATGTTTAAAATAAATATCCATAGAGCTAGAACAAGGTTTATTAATGGTTGGCCTGCTGCCTGTTCTCCTCTGAATACAGAGTAGTATTCAGAGTAGCTGAAAGCAGGAGTGACATGGTTTCAGAGGACACTGTACGTGGCGCTGCTCAATGTGGTGATAAATTGCGGGCCTCCCAGAGGAGGAAAAGAGTGGATTTGTAGCTTGGCACCCTGTGGAACGCTGCCAGCTGAGTGAAAGGCGAAAGCTGGAAGCACAGAGGTGACAGTCACAGCCATCATGGTGCAGAAAGAGAAGATGGGAGCGCTCCCCGATGCACTGATGTCAGAAGGAGGACAACCGTCCTGGGCCCTCTGAGCAGAGAAGGCAGAGGCAAGCGAAGAAAAAAGCCTGGGATCCATCAAGGGAAGGGTGGGGGGACACCGAGCAAGGCTGCAGTTCCCTGCACTCAATAGGTTATCAAACCTTGAGCACCTCAATCCAAAAATTTGAAGTTGCAAAGGCTCTGATTTGAAATCTTTTGAACAACCAAGATGACATGGCAAGTGGAAAGTCCCATATCGGACCTCATGTGACAGGTTGAAGTCAACATGCAGTTCACCAAAAACACTGCATAAATTACCTTCCACCCATGCAGTGTGCCTGAGACAGAAGCGAATTTTGTAGTCCCACCCCAGACATGGCATTCGGTAGATGCAAGCATTCCAATACCTGAAAAAAAAAAGAAATCAGAATTACGTCTGGTGCCAAGCATTTCGGATAAGTGCTGTTGCGTCTGTGTCTTAAATCTGAATTGTAACTTTCTAGTATCTTAGGTCCTGTGACTCAGAACCACTGGGTTCACTACCTAAATTACTTCATTTTTAGGTGTTTGAAATAGCTGTTGGCTGTAACAGTAACAAGGCCATTAGAGTTAAAGGGTGAGTATATTTGCATCTGATCTGCTTTACTCTTTTAACGGTTTAGTTTTTTTGTTTGTTTTCTGTTTTTTTGTTTTGGCAGTACTGAGGTTTGAATTCAAACTTCATGTTTGCTAGGCAGGTGCTCTTACCACTTGACCCAGTTCACTAGTCCCTTTTTATGTTGGTTATTTTCGAGATAGGATCTCGTGAAGTATTTGCCCCAGCTGGCTTCGAACCTCAGTCCTCATGATCTCTGCCTCCTGAGTAGCTAGGAGTACAGGCGTGAACCACCGACGCCCAGCAAACAGTGTAGTAAGCAGTCCTTACTAGCAATAATATTAAGCTAAGAACCGACACACCCATGATTGAAATCCGAAATGGAATTCACACTGATGTTGAGTTTCGCTTGGTCTGTATTTATTGCCAGGTCAAATTTCCATTTGAGGCATACCAAAAAGGAAAGACTCCATCTCTTTCTTTGCTACCAGCATTTCTTTCTCCTCCACCTTCGCCCTCACTAAGCCAGTTTCTGTCTTTGCCATCTCTTCTCTCCGCCCTGTAGTCCAGGTGCATTCCCAGAGAAGTGAGAAGGAGAAGCCGTTGTCTCTGCTTTCCAGCCTGCTCGAGCCAGTTACCACCTCATGCCCGTTAGGGAATTGCCTGCACCGTGCACCACTGCCTGTGGGAGACTTTTCAGAGCTAACCTAAGGGGCCACCAGTGCTGCCTTCAGACAACCCCAAGGTGTGAATCTGTTGACTTACTGTGGTTCACAGTAAGGTACGCTGGGTTTTGTGTCATGCGTTTGCATAACTCTGTCTTCCGGGTGGGAGGGCATCAAGGCAGTGCACACAGTATGCCTAACCGAGGTCCAGTGTATAACAGAGGTTCTTTCCTTTGGCTAGAAGGTGGGGTGATAACAGGGAAACATTGATTCTCATCTGAGTATTTATGAAATGGCTTGCTCTCCTCTAAAGCAAATGTCTACTCCTAGCTGGGCATGGTGGTGTGTGCCTTTAATTCCAGCACTTGAGAGGCTGAGGCAGGAAGTTCTAGGCTGGGCTATATAGCGAGACCCAGTACTGAAGAGAAAAAAAAGAGCTATTCCTCCATCATTCTAATAATCTTTTGATTATTACTGAATTATAATGGTTCCTTACTTCCTTGATAATTAAATATTCTCATCTCAGCATTTCCTAAATTTGCAATTCCTAGCGCCTTTGCATTCATAATTCCTTTTCCAGGAGACACAGAAAAAGCTGATTTACACAGCCTGTACCATCTTAATTCGGGGATGACTTGTGTCTCTGTATTGTGTGTGGAGCAGCAGTGGTGTCACCTGGGACCCCGTTAGAAATGCAGCTAGACCTTAGTCACACTCAGTCACAATCTGTGCTTTGACAACACCTCCAGGACGTGAGCAGGAGCCTTGATGTGTAAGAGTCACCACTGTAGGCAGCATGGCACCAAAGTCAGTTCCCACCATGTGTTCACCACCATGAGCTCCTTCCCGGGCTCCTCACTGCCTTCCGCAGTAAGGTGTCAACCGGCTTGAGCCAGTCTATTTCCGAGGTTCCAGATAGTAACTGTCAAACTTGATCACTCGTCAGCATCACCCGGAGTGCAGGCTCCACATCCCTGCCTCTGGGCCTCTTAGTCAGTGAGCCCATTCTGCATCCTTAAAACCACTCTCGGATCCTGGCCTCGGGATGCAGGGGGCCAAGAGAGACCTGGAACGGCCTGGGGTCCGTGGTACCTGAGGGGAGCCGGAAGGGTCGTCAAAGAAGCTCGGCGTCCTTGGCGTCTAACCTGGTTTCAGAGAGGATGGTGGTGTAGACACCAGTGTCTCAAAAAATGGTGGGCTCCTTCCAAGCTACACTGGGAGCAGCCAGCTAGACTGGCTGAATGAAAAACTTACTAAAAGCTCTGTCATTCAGAAACATTTCAGCCCTCTGTCTGTGAATCCTTAAAACAGCTTCTTGCCCACAGTGAAGTCTCTAGAAGCAAATGGAAGTCACGTGTTAAAAACACAATGCATGTGGGATGAAAGTCCGAGAAACTTCATCTTCATTTTCATAGATTCACTCTGAGTTTATTTTTATTGTGTATGTGTGTGTGTGTCTCAGTAACTTTTTTATTGTGATAAAAATCACATAATGTGAAAGTTACATGTTAATTGTTTTTAAGTGCACAATTTAGTGGGATTAAGTACCTTTTTGATGTAGCACAGGTACTTAGTTGCAAAGCACGGGCGCACAGTTGGCGTCACTCCCGTCCTCCCCTCCTGCGAGCCCCTGGCGACCGTTAATCTGTTATCCCTGTGGCCTGTGAGGCTGTGTCCAGCTTCTTTCACTTAGCCTGCTGCTAAGAGTCATGTGGTTTCCTGCTTCATTCCCTCTAGTGACCGAGTAGCTTTTCATCACATGGACAGCCCACGTTTTGTGCGTCCATTTATCAGTTGGTGGATGAGTGGAATGTTTCTACCTTTGGCTTTTGTGAGCAGTTCTGCTACGATATCTGTGTAAGAGTTTGTGTCTGAGCATCTGGTTCCATCGTTTCGTACGTACTTAGGGATGGAATCACTGGTCATATGCCAATCCTGTGCGTAACTGCCCAGCTAGGACCACCTAACTCCTTTCCATGGTGGCTACACCATTGTCACGTTGCTGTCAGTCATGTGTAAGGTTCCAGTTTATCCATATCCTCCCAAGACTTGTTGCTTTCAGGTTTGTTTGTTTTTTTTTCCTGATAAAATTGTATGTATTCACTATGTACAGCATGATGACTGTATAAAGTGATTATGGAATACCTAAATCTAACTAATACAGGCATTGTCTCACATAGTTCTCATTTTGTGGTGGGAACATTTTCCCTCCAATCTCTTAGCATTCTTTAAGAATACACTGTATTATCATAGGTTGGGCATAGTGGCTCACACCTGTAATCCTAGCTACTTGGGACATGGGAATCGGGAAAATTAAAGTTCAAGACCAGCCCAGGCAAAAAATGAGGGAGACCTCATCTCAACCAATAACAAAGCCAGTAGTGGTGGTGCACACCTGTCATTCCAACCACTCAGGAAGCATAAATAGAAGCCTGGGCATAAATTCAAAACCCTGCTCAAAAAATAACTACGGCAAAAAGGATTGGTATCATGGCTCAAATTGTAGAGCACTTGCCTAGCAAGTGCAAGGCCCTGAGTTCAAACCCCAATACTGTCAAAAATAAACAAACAAAAAGAAGAGAGTACATTATTGACTGGTGTCACCATGTTATCCAACAGATCTCTTGAACTCATTTCTCCTGTCTGAATTTTTTAACAAACCTCTCACAATCTCCCCTCATTTTCTGTAAATTTTTAATAAACATGTACAAAATATAAGAGGTATCTCAGATTTCAAATTCCAGTGTCTTCAGAAGCATTTAATTTAAAGAAAAAGAAAACTGCTATTGCCAAAGCAAACCCCCAAGATTCTAATTCAGTAACTGAAGTCTGCAACAGTCTCCAGTTTGAGAATCACCAGGTTCAGTGGTTAAATGTCTGTGCAAATAAATACGGAGTGATGACCTCACAACTCCATTGTGCTTTACTTTGCAGGTTTAGTGGAACTGAGTGCAAGCACCGCGATTTTTCTTATGTGATTCACAGGTAAGATATATTTTCAACATAAGCACCGCCTTTTATATTAATGTCCTGCTAGCAATTCACAACCAGTTAGTACTTAATTCATGGACTCCTAGGAACATCCCTGTCTTTGACGTGACGTTGTGTGTAGACACGGTAATTGACCTTCTCAGAAACGCACGGGACACAGACGTAGTCTTCAGCCTAATCAGATATGCAAAGCAGGCTTCATTTCATCTCAAATCCCATGTTGTTCCCTCTGGTTTAAGGAAGACATACAAGAGTAATTTTTTTCCTTACATTTCTCCTTAATCTACATGATCGTAGTTAAGCTCATTAGAATTTACAGGATTCCCTTGAGCTCATGAAGAGGAAGGATTCCATTATGGTAAGAAATCTAAACTAGGAGGTAGCTGGAGTTTTAAAATACATCATCTATTGTTGCTTTCTTTCTCATCTAGTGATATTCTGGGAAGAATTGCATTAGAATAGCACACCAAACACGGGCCTTGTAATCATGCCTCTGAGCAGTAAAGCAAGGTCTGCAGCCTTGAACAAGTCTCCTACAATGTCTGGGAATGGTGTCAGGTCTGCAAGGGCAGGACAGCAATTCACACCATGTTGTGGTTGTGAGAACGTGTTAATGGCTGTGGGGACATGTGTGGAAAGTGCCTTAAGCATACACAGTGAGCACTCAGGTGTTCATAGTCCCGTTTATCTACTTGACTTTTGTGCACCTTCTGACCTAAACAAAGTCAACAGTTTAGTTTTCAAGTTTCACAAGAGGAAAGAGAAATAAGTAATAAATATCTTTTTTTACAGGTCATATCTGAGAAAAGAACCACTCAGAAACTTGGTAAGAACACAGTAAATTTGTCAGTCGGCTAAATACATACAGTAACTAAAGCCCTTTTCCTTTTCTAGAAGGTAAGATATGACTGGGGAAAATATGGCTGTCCGTTGAGAGTGGACTTCAGAGAAAAGTTTCAACCTGTGATTCAAGTGTAGGTATATTCTCATTAAAAATTTTTAGGGGGTGGGACTGGGGTCACTTGCAAAGCAGCCATTCCACCACTTGAGCCACTCTACACCCAGAAATTTTTAATTTATTTTAAAAGCCTCAAAATATTACTCATGCATTTAATAACAAACATTTCGAGTACTGAATACATGTAAGACTTGGTTTTCAGTGCTAGTTATACAAAATTGGGCAAAGATCATCCCTGCAAGTTAGAGGAGTTTATGGTTTAGCAGTTGAGCCAAAAGTGGGGCCAAGACCCCCCCCCCACCCCCCACTAGGCTCTCCAAATCTCTCACGGGCTCCTGCTTGGATGCTTTATAGGAATCACCTACCTGGATGACAGGGCTTCTCCTTCCATGAACCTAGTAATTAGTGTAAGTCTGAAAGGAAAGAAATTCGATTGTTGATAAGCAGTTGGAAATCTTAAACATATTATGGATAACTTAATTCTTACAAGCAATATTTCATATCAAAAATAGGAATGAAATACTAAGGCTTTTCCAGGTAGTTTTGTGTTTGTTTTCTTTCCTCTGTGACTTTATTTTATTTATTATTAGTATTACAACTTTTTTTTTTTTGGGTGCTGGGGATTGAATCCAGAGTTTAACACAGACTAAGCACACATTCCACCACCGACCTACATTGCCAGCCCCTGACTTTGTTCTTTTATTCTTGGTTTACAATTATAAAAGTTAAGCAGCTTGTCACAAACGTTTACATATAGAAAAACATAACAAATAAATGACCCGTGTGTCCAAGGACTCTGTTACCATAAGTGGAAGTGTGGGTGAATATCCATTTGTATGCTTGTCAGACACTAGTCTGGTTATGTCATTAGGATAAATTGCTAAAAGCTGTTGGAAAGAAGAAGCTGCGTTACATCCAGAGGAACAAAGATAAGAATGACAGCTGACTTTGTATCGGAAGTCAAGGCATTTTTAAGTCCTAATGGGAAAAAGAAATAGCAGTTGACACTCAAAGTAAACATAGTATTACCATATCACCCAGCTATCTCACTTTGGGGTATCTACCCAAAAAGATGAAGGCCAGGTCTCAAGGAGCTACTTGCATATGACACCGTGCATCACTCACAATGGCTAGAAGTTCTGTGGAAGCAACCCCAAGTGTCCATCAGCAGATGAATGGAGAAACACGATAGGATGCACAGATGGTCCCCACCTGACTCACGATTGTTTGACATAAGATTTTTCAACTCTGTGATGCTGCAAAGGCAACACGCACTGGGGAGAAACTGACTTCCCATACACTCCCAATTCCAAATTTCAATTTTCCCCCAGGCTAGGCTTTCAGTATAGTATTCAGTAAATTACATGAGATATTCAACACTTTATTATGATGATTTCTGTGTAACTGTAGGCTGATGCGTTCTGAGCACATTCAAGGCAGGCAGACCAAGCTGTTATGTGTGGTAGGTCAGGTGGATTAAATGCATGTATGATGCTCTCAACTTATGATGGGTTCATTGGGACAGAACCTCCTCATAAGTGGAGGAGGATTTGTGTACAATGGAATGTTATCTTGCATTTCAAAAGGAAGAAAGTTCTGATAGATGCTGAAATATGGAAAACCTTAGAGATAATATGCAAAGTGAAATGAGCCCGTGGACGAATGCCGCAGGCTCCACTTACAAGAGATCCATAGAGATGGAAAGTAGAGTGGCAGTTTACAGGGGCTGAGGAAGGAGGGAAGGTTGTGCTGTTTAATGGGGACAGAGTTCTGGAGCTGAGTGGTGGTGACAGTGACACAACACCGTTAATGTGCTTAGTGCTGCTGAACTGCACACCTAAAAATGGTCAAAATGACAAATTTTATGTTATTTACATTTTTGTCACAATACAAAATTAGCCTGTAGTTTAACTATATCATAAACAAAGTGAGAAAGAAAATGTGGTTGAAATGCAACTAACAACACAGCAAAGGAAGAGCGAGGCCCTCCCCAATCCAAGTTCCCGGGTGCCAGCCAAGGGCCCGCCTGGAGAGAAGGCCATGTAAGGGTGGCGTTCTCAGACCTGTAGAGTTAACCCTTTCCTCAGAAGATAAAATCTTTGGTAACCAAAGAAAGTAAATGTCTAAATAACATATCACTTCACACCCATCAGAACGAAAAAACAAAGCCCTAAAATCTTACGTGACCAAGTATTATTGGCAAGGACATAGGACAGTGGACATTTTCATACACAGCTGCTAGAAGTAGAAACTGCTGCAGCCACTTAGAGCATTGGGCAGGAGCGAAAGGTTTGTCACTACACATACGATGAGCATAAGATTTTCACATAATCAAAGTCTGGAAACAACCACAAAGCCCATTAGTGGAAGACTGAGCAGGTAAGTGGTGTGATTAACTACAACGAGAAGCTAGGATGTTTGTAAGAGAAGGAATCAGATGAACAACCACGAATTTCAAGTTGGACAGGGGAGGAAGGAGGACGGAGGAACTCTGGCTGAGGAAAATCGAGAGATCAAAAGACTAGAAATGTCTAAGGATCTCAAAGCCGAATATTGAGGGGGAAGAGAGAAAGCAGGCAAAAGATAGAGTTTAATGTCATGCGTGTGTATTTTCAAACCCATAAAGTAATACTACATATGACTTATGGATCCATTTATGTCTAAGAAAAATATAAAACACGGGTGGAAATGAGATACAACTTTTACATTATTTTCTTCATACTTGAACTATCTTCCAATGAAAATTAAACAATTGCTGAAACTATTCCAGGAATGGGAGGGAGGAGGGAATAGAGAGTGGTGGAGAGGGTGAATTCAAGTATGCTGTATTTGATACTTTGTAAGAACTTCTGTAAATGCCACAATATACCCCCACCCAGCACAAAAATAAAAATAAAAAGTAAAATAAGCTATAGGAGCAAGCAAGGATCCTGAGGAAATAGGATCAAAGGGGCAGGCAGCAAGGGTAACTGTGGAAGAACATATCCTCTGAGACTTGGGAAAATGAGGGCAGGAAGTGACTGGTTTAGAAACAGGAACCTGGAGTTGACAACGACCAGGTCTGATAGGCTCAACTGCCTGGCATGACGTAGGAAGGAGGGGCTCTGCAAACAGAATTTCAAAGGTCACTGAGGGTGATCCAGAGGGCTGAGAAAAACCAGATCACTGGAGCCTGAAGCCAGTGGCTCGCACCTGTAATCCTAGCTATTTAGGAGGCTGAGATTGGGAGGATTGTGGTTCGAGATCAGCCAGGGTAAATAGTCTGCAAGACCTCCATCTCTGAAATAATGGATTCAAGCAGTAGAGCACCTGCTTTGCAAGCACAAAGCCCTGAGTTCAAACTCCAGGGAAGGAAGGAAGGAAGGAGACTGAACAAAGGCACAACTGAGGTGAGCCAGTCCAAGCCCCCTGGATGCCAACTTTCTGAAGAAGTCACATCATTAACAGCCAAGGTTTAGGTTACATTTGAAAGCAAGGAGAAGAACAAGCTATGAGTAAATCCAAGGAACTGGTGAGAGACTGGGTCGATGGCCAGGCATGTGCCTGGGCAGAGTAAGGACTGAAGAGAGTCTAGCAGGGAAGACTTGTGTAGGAGTGCAGGGAGGGATGGGCAGAGTTAATGACCAGGAGGGTGGGGGACAGGTCCCGCAGTCAGTCAGTGCACTGTTGGAGCTGCACTTTTTCTAAAGGTAGCATGTGCATGTTTCTGCTCCTAAAAATAAAGCTTCTAATTTTTCTAGAGTTATCAACCAGGTATTAGAGGCCACCTACAGAAGGACAGTCAGATATATAAGGCTCTGTGTCCAGTTCAATTGAATTACAGAAAAACACAGTTGAGAACTGGGAATTCAATCAGGTGTTCATCACAGATAAATTTAAGTGCTCATTAATTAGTTTTTGAGAATCAGGCAGATTTTAATTAAGCTTTTAGAATTAGCCACAGTGGGGGCCCTCCGGGAAATTATTGGTGGATAGTCTGCGTCTCTGGGTTACAACAAATGCAGGGAAGATTTCGGGAACAAGTTTGGGCAGAATTTTACAAGTAAAGGATAACAGGTTCACCATCAAATGCTGATAAGTGAAGCCCAACATACACCATCTCAGCTGGATGACTCCCTGCATTTAAAGGTGGTTGGGGGCTGGCGGGGAGGAGATTGTGTGACTTGCTTGTGCAGGGGCTCCTAGAAGATTGTTACTGCCCTAAAACCTGGCTAACCCTCCAAACTCTAAAAGGCCTTATGGTGAAGCATCCGAGTTTCACCAGAACAAAAGCCACAGTTGATACCCTGGACTATCCTCGAGGCTGAGTCTGATGGATTTGTAGATCAATAGCTTGAGGCCATTCAGTTCTGCATGTGGGAGCTGCCCTCGTGGAGAAGTGGTCAATGCTGGGAAGATAGTGGCGGATGAGTGACAATTCTGACTTTCTCGGGTCTAATTACTCCTCTGTTGCACACTAATGACCATCAGCAAAAATAATATTTTCTGTCACACATCAATGAAACAAATAGAACATCATCAAAGATCATTAAGCCTGCATCACGGGTCACTCAATGCATCCACACTGCCACTAGATGTCACCGTAGTTCCTTGCTAGGATGAGTGTCAAAGGCTGCCAGCTGGCAGGCTTCAATCAGGATCTTTTTTATTTTTAAAGGGAAAAAATACAAGTTTGTTTTGGTTTTTGTTTTTATTCCTTTTGTGGTACTGGGGCTTGAACTCAAGGCCTTCACCTTGAGCCACTCCACCAGCCATTTTTTGTGATGGGTTTTTAGAGATAGGGTCTCACAAACTCTTTGCCCAGGCTGGCTTCGAACCACAATCCTCCTGATCTCTGCCTCCTGAGTAGCTACGATTACAGGTGTGAGTTACTGGCACTTGGCAAAAAACAAGTTCTTCATAATTCAAGAACTTCATGACTTTCAGAAGATGTGATCAAAATCTCGATCCTCTATTAAGCTGCTAAAAACCAGAGCTTTGCTAATCTCTGAAGCTACAGTAAAATTGTCTGTGCACATGTGTTTTCTGTGGCGAGAAGTTCAGAGCGCTCATCAGACTTTCAGAACTCCTGTGCCCTGCTGCCCAATAAGAAGTGAAGCATTGGTGCTGGAATGCCTACCTAGCCATGCTTGTTTGAGCACTGGCCTTCGGAGTTCATCGCTGTCATTTTTTTTTTCCAAAATTAATTACCATGGAAATAAAAAGAGCTTCTCATATACCACTCTTTAACACTTAAATTTTTCTGCCCAGTTTCTGAGAATGGCACCTAACTACCATACCCAGGGTTGGATGGTAGCACGTTTTAACAGACCTGGAAAGCCAATGCCACACATAAGGACATGCTTGCTATCCAGGACAGATTTCTCAAGGGAGAAATTGCATCAGAAAGTGTAGCCACAGTCCAAGAGCCTGCACCTCGAAGCAAGTGCCTCAGACCAAAGGCCCAAGCAAAGCTGTCACCACCTGAGGGCTACAGGAGACAATTTCAGTCAGAAACATGAGCAGTCATGGGTGGAGAAGGAAGCCATGTGGCCATTTGTGTAGTCAGGAGTCCTGGTATGCAAAGGTGTCACTTTATCAATAACCCAACCTTAGCTTTCATCTCAAGCCTTATTTTTATGTGGCAGGAAAAGAACCTTAGTGAAGTAACGCATCTTTGAAAGCTCCAAGTCTGAGGGCAATGCTCTAAGCTCAGTGGGGACCATGCATCAGTCCCAGCGTCAGGACAGGGGTGAGCTGCCCATGGAGGGGACTCTGCTGGTGTCCTCTGTTAACTGGGGTCATCCTCCCTTGTCTGAGCTCCAGCTACTAGCAACCCCTCTGCACCCTGGGCAGATGACCCTGGGAGATGCAGCCACACTTTCCAGCTGCTTCCTTTGGGGAATGTGCCCTGGAGGCTGGGCACACGGTAATCCTGTGGTCCCACTCTCTGGTACTACTGCAGGCACCACAAACAAATGACACCAGGAAGCTTCACCTCACCCTTCCTCCATCATCTCCTTTGTCTTTCTCCCTGCTGGAGTCTGTGGTGGCAGGGCCCAAGAACCCTCACCTCATCACTAGGACGTTCATCACTATGAGGGTTTTGCGTGGAATAACATCTCTTATTTCACTCAGCTGACAGTAGACCGGTTATTTTACTTACACACAAGGAAAATGAGGGTGTAAGAGTGTCAGCAACTTCCCCAGGGCCTCAGAGCCGTGAGGGATAAAGACAGGGTGACCGGAAGGCAGGAACTCTTCACCCCTCTGGCTTATACCAAGCTGCTGTTTTTGTTGTTTCTTTCAGAAGTGATGAGAATGGCGTTTATGGAGACGTGGACGTAAACTTCATAGTATGGGAAATACATGGCAGGGACGATTATACCTTCAACAGTACCATGAAGCAGGTACGACCCCGTTCAAGTCAAAGCACGTCCTAGCGTGCACCTAGGCTTGCCTCCTTTCAGTCTACGTGTGATGTAAGGAAAATGGAACCAAAAAACCGCATCACCTCTATAAAATGCAATGACTACTGAAAGTCATCGAAGAAAAAAGAAGCCATTGTCATATGCGACAGACATAAGGGATGGGGAAAAAGTTAAGCCATGTTTATAGTAGGATGATGACGTCACATACGAGTATTTTCTTTTCTCTCCAAACTAATTTAATGTTCAGTTATTTGCGGGTCTGCCTTTGGCTGCAGGACATTTATCACTTTGCACTAACTCAAATGGGCACTCTTTGGGCTCCATCTCATTTGACTTCGTTGCATCATTTGCCCCTGCTACACTTGGCATCAGTGTCTCTGCCCTCTCCTGGTTTTCTTCCATCCTCCACAGCCAGTTGATTTCGGCCTCCCCAGTGGATCCCCCTTATTCTACTAGAAAAGGCCACATGGCTCTCACCCAGCACACTCGAAGCCTCCCTCCCTGGGCCTTTCCACCCTTGACGGCTTCCCATCGGGACAGTGTTGCTGGAGGTGTTCCTAAGATGCCCCAGAGATGTCAGGCTCACACAACACCAGATGACCCCTTCCAAAGTGAGGCTCTTCTCTACCAGATTCTTTGTCCAAGGAGCACAACCACCAAGATGGCAGCCAAGAGAACTGAGTTCCCCTTGTAGGGCAAGCGCTCACTGTCTTTCAAGTCCTCCTGTCCTTGGTCAGCCCCCAATGTGTAAGTCTTCTGGCCTGCTGTCTCCCCATACTCCCTCCCGACACTGCTGTCTCCCCATGACCGTGTCCAGGCTCTCTTACTCCTCAGACTTCTCCATTATACCTGGGCTAGAATATCCTAGACCATCTTCAGTGAGACTTCTTGGTAGGAATGTACGGTTCCCTACAGTTCTATCAAGCCAGGGGTCTGCGTTCCCTCACCCCGCACAGTTATAGATGTGATGTGGGTGGACGGTCTCTCTAATCCATAGATTTATTTCCAGGCCATGGTCAAGGGGCCACTAGACACAGAACCCTGAGCCCCTAATTCACCACTTTGAGCAGAGCCACCCACAAGAAACACCTGATAAGGGACTTCTGCACTGTGGTACTCAAGATTTACACTTTTGCTGGGGACACAGCTCAGCGGTAGAGCATTGCTTAGCACATGTGAGGACCCAGCCTCACAAAAAATAATAATATAATAATTAAGCTTTTATCATGTAAATCCCCTAGGAGATGGGGGCTTATTGTCCAGCACCTCAGAGATAACTCCTCCTATTAAAACTGCATTTAAATTCAAACATTTCAGCCCCTGCCATGCCTCCCCAGCCCTTTTTTGCTTCAGTTATTTTTCAGAGACAGCTAACATTTTTTGCCCAGACTGTGATCTTCCTACCTATGCCTCCTGAATAGCTAGGATTACAGATGTGCCTCACCATGCCCAGCTTGTTTGTTGAAATGGGGTCTCACTAACATTTTTGCCCATTCCGCCTTGTACCACAATCCTTCCCAATCTTCATCTCCCAAGTAGTGGAAATTGCAGGCATGAGCCACCAAGCCGACAGGAAATTTTTTTCTTTAAACTTTAAAAACTCTTGCAGAGAGTGGGAGGGTGAGATGACTTTCCAACTCATTTGGTGAGTCAAGGAGGACTTGCTAAGATCCCTAAAAGAAAAGAGAACTTCAGGCCAGTCTCACCCATAAACATAGACACATAAAACCTTAGCAAATCAACTCAAGCAATATACTAAAGAATAATCTACCCCAGCCAGACACCAGTGGCTCATGCCTGTAATCCTAGCTACTTGGTAGGCTGAGACTGGGAGGATTGTGGTTTGAGGTCATCCTGGGCAAATAATTCTCAACCCCACCTCCAAAATAACCAGAGAAAACTGGACTGGAGGTGTGGCTCAAGTGGTAGAGTGCCTGCTTTGCAAGTGCAGAGCCCTGAGTTCAAACTCCAGTCCCACCAAAAAAAGAAAAAGAAAAAAGAATAATATCCCCAGACCAAATTCTCTTTGTCTCATGGAGGTTGGTATATTCAATTTGATAAGGAAGAAATGGCAATAAGGTTTCTATAATAGTTGGTGGAAAGTTATTTAAGAGTTTACCATCTGTATAAACATCAATTTAAAAATTAATCATAGAGAATTATAAATGCATAGTAACTTTCTTAGCCTAATAAAATAAAGATAACAAAAATTACAGCAAAAAAATTTTTTTTGCAGTATTGAGGTTTGAACTCAGGCTCTACACCTTGAGCCACTCCACCAGCCCTATTTTTATGGTGTTTTTTTCGAGATAGGGTCTCATGAATTGTTTGCCTGGGCTGACTCTGAACTGTGATCCTCCTAATCTCTGCCTCCTGAGTAGCTAGGATTACAGGTGCGAGCCACCAGCACCTGGCACAAAATTATTTTTAATGCGATTTTTTAAATCTTCCACTGAAATCAGGGACAAAACAAGGATAGCTGTCTATCACCATTTTCATACAATCTTGCTCCTGGAAAGCTTGGTAATTAATAAGACAAAGAAGAAACAGTCAAAATAAATAAAGGAATAGGACCTGGAAAGAAGGAAACAGAGGTTCCATATTCACAGAGACAAAGCTGTCCATGTGAAGCCATTAGAATCAAGAAGTGAGTTCGGGACGTTCTGTCACCTCAGGGTCAATATGCAGCACCAGCAAACATTCAAATAATGGAAGTCTAAAAGAGAGCGTTTCGACAGCAGCAAGACATATTAGACACATAGGAATAAGCCACCGAGAATGTCGCCGTGTGTGACTGCGTCGTGGTGTTTTGACAGAGCGGCTGTTTAAATGAAGCACAGACGTGGAAGACGATGATGGAGATGAATGAGAACCTCCCTCTGGACATGGTGTGGGGGCCAGAGGTAAGGGGACAGAGCTGGGCACACACTGTGGCTGGGATCGCCAGTTAGCAAGCGCTTGCTGGGAATACTGTGGACATAAATTTGGTTTGGTAAGTATAACCTTTTTTTGATATTGAATTACATTATTTCAAAAGTGTTTCATCTTAAATTTCTTTGATTTTCCTGTGCATTCTGTTACAAATTTAATTTTAATTCACTATTTTTTTTTGAGGGGAGGGCAGCTCCAGGGCTTGAACTCAGGGCCTCACACTTGCTAGGCATGCGCTCTACCACTTGAGCCCCTCCGCCAGCCCCCATAATTCATTTCACTGCTGCAAGTCTGTGTTTGCAGATTATCAAGCCCAGTAAACATGTGAAAGCATTGAGAGTGAGTCTTTTTTGAGGACCACCTCTCCCCTTTTATTCTTTGTTGTTGTTTTGAGACAGGGTCTTGCTGTGTAGCCCAGTATGGCTTGGAACTCACAATCCTCCTGCTTCAGCCTCCCAAGTGCTGGGGTTACATACAGGTGCAACCACGCTTGGCTCCTTTCATTTCTTTACTTAAAAGTCAAATAGTCAATAAGGTCTTCTCTGGCCACCCTATTAAAAAATTAAACTATCACTGCCCAGAGAGCCCTCATCTCCCCTCCCCTTTTCTCCAGTATCATGAGCATTTATAACTCTCTGACACACTAGACAGCCTACTTTTTTGAGGGCACTGGGTCTTGTTGACAGGCTAAATGCCTCTGAGGTCATTTTGTGCTGCTGGAAACAGGATACCCGAGGCTGGGAAATTTTTGATGAACAAAAATTGTTGTCTCATGATCCTTAAGACTAGGAAGTCCAAGAAGAGCATGGCACCATCTTCTGGTGAGGGCTTTCTTGCTGCATCGTGTCATGGTGGGAGGAGGATGGGTAAGAGAGGCAAAGGTGAGGGCAAGTGCAAGCCAGAGGTGAGCAAGAAGTGTCAAACTCATTCCTGTAGAAGGAAGCTACTCCCTCAGCAATGGCATTAATCCATTCATGGGGCCAGGGCCCACCTCCCAGCACCTTCCCACTGAAGACCAGGTTTCCAAGACATCCACAAGAGAGACGGCATTCCCCATAGCCACCAGACTGACCAAAGCTCAGACACCTCACACGCAAGTGAGGGCCTCACAAAGCCTGTGTCCTTCACCTAAGAAGCTTCCAGAGAGCACACAGACCTACAAAAACCAGACCAGTGCCATGATCACTCACTGTAGGATCAGACATCTGCACATTTTAACTATGTTCACTTTGCCTTTATTAGCTTTAATAAAGTGACTTTTAAAAATGTGGACTTTGGGCTGGGGGCCTGGCTCGACTGGTAGAGCGCTTACCTAGCAAGTGCAAGGCCCTGAGTTCAAGCCCAATATGGCGTGTGTAGATTATTTCATCTGTGCATGCGTGGTGTGGCATGTCTGTCATCCCACCACTTGGGAGGCTGAGGTAGGAGGGCTACAGACCATGTCTCAAAAAAACAGGTAGTAAATGAAAAAGATTTAAAAATGAAAAGAAAAAAAAAAAAGATGGGCAAGGAAGGAATAGAACAGTATTTCTTAAGTTAGTGCTCAGAGAGCCACAGTAGTGGTGATGGGGTTAAATAAAAGCCTGAGGGAGGACAAAAACCCAAGGATGGGCCACCCTGACCAGGTGTCCAGACCTTAGGGTCCCAGTTAGCATCTTCAGATGATTCCCTGCCCTGTTGACTTGGGAAAATAACGTGCTGCACACCCTCTGTATCCTAATTTGATTGTTCTCAGCTATAAATGAAATGCAGCATTTACTTTCACTTGGCTTCACTTTTTTACCAAATTTTAACCCAAGGTAGCCTCTAACAATGTCATAAAGCATGGCTTTATGGAGTAGCCATCACATCCCCAAATAATTTTCCAAAACAACTATGTGAGAATGTCATTTTGTTTAAATCAGAAATTATCTTAATCTTGGTGTGTTTCCTGTTCAGAACTACAGGCCCTGTTTTTCCTATGCTATTGGAAAACCAGGAGACTTGAGTCAACCGTATGAGATCCTCAACATCTCTAATAAGAACCATCTCGTTTGGCCCACGGACCATGTGGGAATGTATGTGTTTCGTGCAAAGGTGTTGGATCCAAACTTCAGGTGAACATAAATGTTTCCTTACAATAGTTTTAGCATTCCTTCCTCAAAATGAAATTGTTTTCGTGATTTAATTTGGTACCGACTAAACATCCAATTGTTACTGTAATTCACACATTTGCTTTTCATTTTGTAATAAACACATTGTGGAGGTAGGACATTCATTTGAAATTATGTTCTGAGAATTTTGCTACATCCCGTGGACATGGCAAAGCCAGATGTGAGCAATCTCGGCCTTCAAGGATTTGGGGATTAAGCCGAGAGTCAAGTCACGACAAACGCGTGTGCTGGTCTTCAATTAAGATGTGTTAATAGGCACGACAGTAATTCAGAGACGGACAAATGCTGTTTTGAGCCGGAGATAATTTTCTGGAAACCATGGAGGGAGTATCATCTGTCACTTACCTAGTCTAAAAAGCTTGAAACCATGTCAACTCTCTTTTCTTTTATTTGTCACATTACATAATGTGACAAGTAATTTCTGCCCCTTTTACTTCTATTTCTGCTGCCACCAGGCCTTCCTTTGGCCTTTTGCCTCATAAATGTCACTCTTCTCCTTTGTCTAGGTGTTGGGGATTTTTGGTGCTGTGGGTAGGTAGAAGCAAGTTTATTAGGATGCGCATTGCTAAGAAAAGCAGCGTGTAGCAGGACACGAGCGCACTGCTGCTGCTCTGATCCTGAAGCGAAGCTGGAGTGCAGCCTCCAGTGGGAGGGAGGGCAGGCTCAAGAAGACCTCAAGCTTTTAGGGGTTTGCAGAGATGGGGGTGGTCAGTCCTGGAAAACTGGGTTATTAACTCTCAGAGGCTGAGCTATGTGTCCTCAGCTCCTCCCATGTGAAGGTGGAAGAAGTTTTGGGCCTTGGATGGTCAGACTGGGCTGCAAGTCAGCAAGACCCTGCTGCCTGTCGCAAGTCATTCTGTTAATACTGTAATGTTGGCCATCGGGGTTTCGTAACTCCTGCCTCACTCTTGTCCCGCGCCCCCTCCCCGGGAGCGTGGACCCTCATAAACCTGTGAGGGAAGAGAGCCGTAGATGTCTTTAACATTTCCTCCTGGACAGGAGCATTGGTCTCACCTACAGGTCCGCCTTGTCTGGTAGGGGTGACAGCTGAGGCTGAGGTGGTAGAGACAAGGGCATGATGGTGGCGTCAGGGGTCCAGTTGCTGATGCTTAACTGTGGTATCGGCTGAGAGCCCTGGCATGCATCATTTACAGCAGAAACTTTCGAAGCCAGCAGCTGGATTTATTGTGGGCTGTCACTGTGGTCACCGATCATTGCAGCACAGTCATCTTGTGAGGGTCTCCTGCTGTCCTTTCCAGGGAATGTGGATGGTTCCTAGGACTCCTGGGACAGTGACTAAAGGGACGCTAAAGAAAGCATTAACAAGCTCCAACAGCCCCTGATAAGAACCGGCTTAACACAACAATGGCAGTGGCTTTCCTGCTGGGCCTCTGACTTTTAGCCTCAGGTTTCTGTCCTGGCCTGAAGTGCTAAACACGGGTCCCTTGCCATGGAGTGGGCCTGAGACTCAATTGGAATGTGGTCGATTGCACCCAAACTAGTCGTGCCACTATTGCCCAGTGGGCACATCCTGTAGAGCATGTGGACGATGTAACACACAGGGGACATAGCCAAACAGGACTATTGGTGACGATTTTCCTCCTGCCAGCCTGAATAGCTCCTTCCGGCACTATGACGCTAGCCAGTGGAGAGAAAACTTTGGGTTTGGCCTCAGCTTGATTTTTTGTTTTGCGTCCTGCAATCAGAGCGTGTGGTGTCCTTCAGTAACAGGGACTTATCGTGTAGTTTTGGCATGGGACCAACTGTAGTGGCAATAGCCTGTACGGTGTGGGCACCTCGGGGAGGTCCCCCCCCACCCTCCCACCCCCACCCCCCCCCCCCCCACCCCCCCCCCCACCCCCACCCCCCCCCCCCCCCCCCCCCCACCCCCACCCCCCCCACCCCCGCCCAGCCAATGGCTCCTAGGGAGGTATCCCGTCCTCATTTACAAAGGCCATGGCTCTGGAAACACTCTTTTTATCCATGCAGCGTGTCTTTATTTAAACTCTTTAGCTACTGTTTGAAGTAGCGCACCATGATTTTTGTAGGTGAGGTACAAAGGACATTTGAGAAAAGACAAACAAGCCCATTCCTGCAGGGTTGGACACGGGAAGCCCAGGGAATTTTGTCCAGTTGGTGGCAGTGGGGGAAGACAACTGGAGACCTGTGAGCTGAACTGTCTGAACGATAACCCCAAGTGTCTGAGGAGAAGCACCCATTAATCCCAGGCAGAAATCTGTCCATGAGTGGAAAACAATATGGCAGCGAGGGCAGCAGCTCCCAGGCCCCGATTTTGCACCCCATGGGGAAAAGGGGACTATGGCATTTAGCTCCGTAGCAGACACAGCAAAGACAGCAGTGTGGGGAAACAGCTGAACAGACGGCAAAGTCGGGCTGTTTGAAGGTAAGCTCAGGTTAAACACAAGAAAGGACAAGGACCCAGGGAGTAAAACCCAGCTGTAGAGCACAGTTAGGTGGCATCGCTTCCACCCAGGCAGAGAAGTGGAGAGCGGAGGTCAATGTAGTCACCTCCGTCCCCGAATCCACCACGAGAAGATTTTAAGCAAGTTCTGAAACTTAGTGAAACAACGGCGAAGCTGATCAGGAGTAAGGACTTTTAACTTTGTCGCCTTTGGGGGGAAGTTTTGAGTCTCATAAATCTAGCAAGACAGCACTGGGTTTGTTTTTAGCAATAATATCTTGTCACAAACCTTACCACAAGCCTTTTGTGACTTGTTTTTATCTACTTGGGTTTGTCCCTATTTTTTTTTTTTTTTAACTTTGGAACAATCCTTTAAGACAAAACCTTGTTTTACCACGTCAAAGCCTTTCTATCCAGGCAATGTCCTCTTACTTACAACTTTCTTACACCCCTCAGGCCTATCATAGTTTATCAATTGAATCTCAGGATAAACCCTAACGCAATCTTTTAGCCTTCTGGTTTTGCCCTTACCTGTCTGTTTCCATTTTGGAGCAGTGGTTCTGCTGTTAGGACAAAATCTTATTTACATACAAAATTCTTTCTTACCCCAAAATGCTCTTTTTTTTTTATAAACTTTTTTTAAAAACATCTTCTCATCTCTGACTTACTAGTTTCTTGTTACTTTGTCACCTTCTATATACACCTGTAGCTATTATGTAAAATTTGTTGCCACTCGGATTTTTTAAAGGGTGTCTTTACATGGGCCTAAGAGTTATAGAATGATGCATTCCACTAAGATAATGAAACTTTTAAATGACCTGGAGCTGGAAAACTATTGTAGTACAGTATGGGAATGTGTGAGGAACCCACTTCACGTGTTTGCGTGGATCTTGAAATGCTAGGTCTCCCCTCAAAAGAAAAGGCTAGTGTTCGGGTATTCAATTCATGAGGGCTCTCAACCAAGAAAATAGCCACATAAAAAAATTGATCCTCTGCCTGTACGTATTTCCAGCATGTACAGGGAAGGTTTGGAAATAGCAAGTAGGAGAAGTAGCTTAGTGACAAAAACAAAGAAGGGGGAGAAGAGAGAAAGAAAGAAAGAAAAAGAAGAAAAAGAGAGAGAGAGAGAGGAAGGAGGGAAGAAGGGAGAAAGGAAGGAAGGAAAGAAAGATCTCTTTGGTGCTACGTCTTGAGTATGATTTCAACCCAAACTTGGAAAAAGAATTTAGAGACAAAAGCATTATAAGTAGACTGGGTTAGCCTTTTTGTCACCTGGAAATTTAGGCCAGCCATTAATACCTGAAACCTGGGAACTAATATTTTATCCAGGGACAGGGACAAACAAATCTCTCCCACAGAGATTTGTTCAAAAGGGTAATGATGAGATAGGGTAAAGTTTCTATTTTTACTCTACCAAGTCCAATAAATGAGTCTCACTAAGACATGGTAACACCCAATAGGAAAATTATAATTTAAGCTGATCTTCTGGTGGTCCAAAAATAAAATTTCAATAAATGAGAAAACATAACTTTATAGGGCACATTCGGGTTGGAAACTAAAAAACAGAAGTAGGCTTCTATTTTTAGCACTGTAACAGGATATACATTTAAAGAATGATATGCATTCTTTAAACGTATGGCCAAGTTGGTGAGAAACTAAGGAATTCCTGCAGGTCAGAAATTTCAGAAAATGGAAATACATTGATCTGAAGATACCATTTACATAACCCCCAGGGTCACCTGCCTGTCCCCAGTGAATTCTAAGGCCGAGTGCGAAAGATAGGAGAGCAAGCTTAGGGCCCTGACGAAGAGGCAGAAAAACGTAGACTTTGAAGGAAAAACCCCTAGGGGAGATGCTGAGGACATGTGCCTGAATCTATCCTGGCTCCCTTCCCTACGAATTTCAACTACAAATCTACCCTTGATAGAGTTGAGGCTGGATTTCATGTTACCTGAATGTTCGTCGGTCATTACAGTGATCTAGGCAGAAAATTGACCTTCCACTATGCTCAGCAGGAGCAAATGTGTATCCCTTCTGAAAGAATGCAGATCCCAAAGAGCGCCCACAGGAAACAGTCCAACAAACAAAACACTGAGAAAGGATGTTAAGCTTTTTAATAGGAAGCTTTGAAAGAATGATGAAAGAAGAAACGATCCAAACTAATCAGAAGATTTAAAAAAGCAACAGAGAAAACTTCTAGAAATGAAGACTAATCCGTGTAACTGACACCTCACAAGATTCAGCAGCTAAAGAGAAAATTAGTGAACGGGAAGAAGCAAACAAACAACTTCCAAAGACCAACAAAGCAAATCCACCTATCATAATGTAATTACTCTTAAATTACAAAAATGTACTTATTGTCCCCAAAAGGGAAACAAACCAAGTTTTCATAGCTTATCGCATCTAGCACCAAGTCCAAGGTCCCTGAATGATATTTCTTCTTCCTTGAATTCTGTCACGATCCTGGCTTCATTTTCTATACCTCTCACTATGAATACACCTGGCACAGAAGAGTATGGGG